AAGGGTGGATGGATGGATGGATAGATGGATGGATAGATGGATGGATGAAAGGGTGGATAGATGGATGGATGGATGGATGGATGGACAAAAGGGTGGATGGATTGATGGCGATGGATGGATGGATGACAGGGTGGATGGATGGATGGATGGATGAAAGGATGGACAGATGGATGGATGATAGATGAACGGATGAAAGGTGGATGGGTGGATAAGTAATAAAAAAGGTAACTTCACCTGTGCTTACTTATATTTATTGAACGCTGTTAGAAGACCTGACCAGAACAATCTAAAGATGATGGATGGATGGATGGATAGATGGATGGATGGATGGATGGATGGATGGATTGATTGATAAGTAATAAAAAGGTAACTCCACCTGTGCTTACTGTATATTCATTGAACACTGTTAGAAGGGGCAGACACGTGTCATGAAGGTTTAACAGCTGATGAGATATGAAGACCAGAACTAGGCCACGAGGCTGGAGAAATGACAAACAAAACTGCCTTCGGGCACAGATGTATGAAAGGAACTTCTTCAGTACAAACCCTCAGAAATGTGAAGAGACAAATAGACATCCAGTTTGTCAACAGCTTCTCCACCACTGACTCCGTCCTGGAAGAAAATAAAAATTGCACAGATGAATTATCTGCTGATGGAAAAGAAAACCTTCCTCGCTGATTATCAAGCCTCAGCTGGCCAAAGCGTTCACCTCCTCAGCATGAGTTTGGGGTTCTTGGCCACATATTGCTCCACCAGGTCGTTAAGCAGAGTCTTGAGGATGTCTGTGAAGTACTCCAGTTTACCGTGAAGGGCTACAGTCAGCAGAGAGGCCACGTAGGCCCGGTCTCTGGGGGAGAACGTCCGCTGGGTCTCCAGAGTGTGAATAAACTAGAGGAGGACATGGAGAAGACTCAGTAACAATAACATGCAAAATCATTTTTAATTAGACGCATAGGTGAAACTGACTGATTTAAATTGAGAAACTATTCTCATAGAGTTAGTTGCACTTTCATTCTCTTCATCTTCTTCTACAGTTTATCCGTAGTCGGGTTGCAAACAGTTTCTTCACGTTACACTTCAAATAAACTATTTATTCTGTCTAAATTAATCCTTTGGGCTGACCTTGGTGAGAAAGAGTTTGCTGTTAAGCAGATTGGACAGTTGAACCAGTCCTTGCTCCACCGTCTGCCTCCGACTCTCTGGAACGTCCAGGTCTCGTCTCAGTGGCGACTCCTGGTGGCCCGGGAAAAAAATACGCTCCGCGTAGGCTCGGTAATCGAGAAAGGGAATCCCGGAGCCCACCAAATCGCTGGACATGTCCATCATCTCTGTCATCAGGTCTAAAAGTAAGAATAAATAGTTTTAGTTTGGTTATTAGTTTTATTCCTCGGGAGGTTAGCAGCAGAAACCGGACTGTACCGGTGAACTCCTTCTTGCAGCGGTCCCTGACGCTGGTCTCCAGGTTTTCAAGCTGGATCTGTACCTTCTTATAGTCTCTCATGGCCTGTTTGCTCTTTCTCCTGACAAAACCATGGTTTGGTTAAAAAAAAAAAATAAATAAATAAATAAAGCTGAACACATTTATTAAGAGGGTTTTACTTTTTAAGATGTTTACCTGTATATAAGCACGATGATGAGCACAATGAGAGCCACTATGGAGGCTCCAACCCCGACGCCCACCTGAGCCTCCAGAGGAAACGTAGACTGAGCCTGGCTGTCGTACTGCACCCTGCCCAACGAGAAGTTCAGGTTCCCCATCTTCACCTGGAAGACACATTTATAGACCACAGGTTTAAACTGGCTTTTATAACAGTTTTAGGTTCAACTCCTTATTGCTCACATCAGTATGAGCGATGAGTTGAACGTTAAACTCAAACGAGGCTGGTCGTACAAAGCATCGATGAAGGAACTTTAAAAGTTAAAACTTTTCTAGGCAAGGGAACTTAAGGGCGTCAAATAGAACTTTTAAAAAGACGTTGCTACCTGAATTAAAAAGTTCTGGCTAAAGCGTTAACTGTTTTCATCTTATATCAACAGACTCTTGATTAAATGGAACTTCGTAATGTTGAGCAGCTCGGTAAGAACAAAGGGGAACACTTTATTCATTCCTTTAAGGAACGCTAAGTCTTTATTTAGAGAGGTGGTGTTATTTCTGACTAGTCAACATCTTACCTGTAGTGAACAGCAGTCATAGCACACTCCGTTTTGTGACTCGGATAAATTCGCACGAGGAGTCGAGCAATTCATTATCAAGAGGAGGGCCTTAAAAAGTCTGTTTCCACCATCTAAAACAACTTGAAGTCAAATTTCTATTATTTGAGCTCATACTATTTTAGCTTGGGTTTTTTTTTACAGTGAGTTTGTGGGAGTTTTGTCCTGTCAGCTCCCTGCAGCCGCATCTGAGCACCAATCAGCAGCACCTGAGGATCATCGGCTTGATGAGCATGAGGAGCATAAAAGGTTGCAGAGGACATTCAGCGAGCGCTGGAGCATTACCTGTCAATGGTAATTCAATTCAACTCAATTCAATTCAAAAATACTTTATTAATCTCAAAGGGAAATTATGTGTTGTTGTAGTTCATCATCCTGATTTCATTCAAGAGTTGTTAGAAGCTGATAGCTGTGGAAAGGAAGGATCTCCTGCAGCAAATCTGAAGAATCTGGCCACAGATACCGATCCGTACACCCGGATCCAGCTCGCTGTCAGATCCGGCGAGCCTCTCGTCCTCATGGGCAGCAGGACTGTCCAAATGCTGGGCAGAATTCCTCCCTGAGGTGTGGTCACACCTCCCAGCAGTCTGCCGAGCTCTTCGTTGCCATGGACAGACAGCTGAAGGTGCTGGGGAATGATCCTGGTCCTCCTGTTGTCACGAGCCGAGTTTCCCATCAGCTCCAGGATCTTGGCAGTCAGGTTGACGGAAATTCGTCCACGGCGCCTCCTTTTCAACTCTTTTGGGATTTGAGGCTGTAGTTGAGATATCTGAGCTTTTGAGATGTTAATCAGCTGCTCCTGGTTGTTGAAAAACACCTTGTTGCCATGGTTACGCATCATAACAAATGCCCCAAAGTAAAAAGGCTTCAGTAAAAATCCTTCCAGCTGCACAGCATCCGGTACCAGAATAAATAACCGTCCGAAAAAAGTGATTTACATCCAGAAAAGAGGAATTAAAGTTTTCAAAAGCAATAACTCAGAATGAATGTAACAGAGCTGCTCCAGCATGCAGCCACCCCGAGCGGCGCAATTCTAGAATAAACCAGTAGTTCTGTTCTAGCCACTTGTGAGTTAAACTGAATAGTAACAAATTGTATATTTCTCCGTGCTCTCAGAGTATAATCCCTGATGTCCTCCTGTCCCCTGGATTCTCCTCTGTGGACCTCGAGCTCTCCTGTGCCTCCTCAGCTGCATCCATGCCACTTGCCTGTCTCCTGCCTGGAACCATCGTTCCGACGCATATCTTCTTCGCCCTGGAACCAATGGGTCAGCGATCCCCACAACTGACTCCTACCTCCACCGTAAGAAAGAGCAGCAACAACATTACCACCCCCTGCCAACAGACCAGTAACTATCTCCTTGCTCTTCAGGGTTCCATCTCCCTTCCTGGCACAATTGATGATTTTTCCACCTTTGTAAATAAACACTGTAAACATATTATAGCTGCAATCGTTACAGAGTTATTTGGCATTAGACTGTTGTTTACGTTGTTGCTATTTCCCAAACTGCAATTACGGCGTCTGCTAAACGTATTCTGCTGTAATACGAACAATTAGATGTTTCATCAAGGGTGTTGCTCGGCTAAGTCAATAATAACAAATTAAAGAGCTGTCTCAAGCACAACTAAAGTGTAAAAATACTTAAAGTATTTTTTGTTACTGCTTGGGAATTCTTTGAGTTGCTTCTCATGGTCCTCTTTAAATGGGCCCTTCTCTGAATAGTAGTATGATTTTCTCCCCCTTGGGGTCACTTTGACTGCTATCCACTGCAGGTAAGATACTGACTGCTCGACACAACCCAACAAAACAAAACAAACCACCTCCTTAGGCCGGTTTGTGCCTCTGATTTTACATTAAAAAAAATGAAATAGTTTCTCTGTAAGAGTAATTTACAGTAAATTCAGGCAGACTGTCCATGCCGTCCTGCTTCCTGTTGGCTGTGAGCGAAGGCTGCTGGGCTGGTGGTTCACAGTACAGGTGGTTGTGAGTCAGGGTCTTCACCAAACACAAACCCTCCCCGATCCGAGCCTCCACCTCCTGCTTGTACATGGCAAGATCCAGGAACTCTCCCTAGAACAGGAAAATTATTTTACACTTTTCTGAGAGCTGCTTCAAAAACTACAAGTTTTAATAAACACAACGGGGGTGGGGGTGGGGTTGTCAAGTTGGTTTAATCCCTGGATCTCACCTCAACAGAGATGATGCTGCCAGGTTTATGGTGGTACGGCTTGCTCGAGTCATTCTTGTTCAGCTTGTAGAGCTTGGGGTTGGGCTCGTAGCTGAAAGCTTCGTTACTCACGGTGCTGAAGTCCAAGTGGAGGCTGTCCAACAGGAAGTGAACTTTAACTCTTGCTCCTCTGGCCTCTGGACCCACAGCAGGAGTCGGACACAAGATGAGGAAGGAGCTGTTCACCGTGCAGCGTGATTCAAACTGAACGAGACATTAGCAAGCTTTAATGCACAGATCAAGTGCTTTAAATGCTTCTTATCACGAACACAGGACGATCTCATGTTCCTGTAACACTCACGTAGACTTACATGTTTTTCATGGCAGAGTGTCCCCTTAGGACAGTGCGCTTCTGGAACAATCCTCCTCCACCTTTTCAGTGGACCGATGTAACCCTGTCCTTCACTCAGATGTTTCGCTTTCTTCTTCTTGATGCTCCTTCTCCTTCTGGGAGGCAGAGCATCAGGAGGACTGAGGGTCACTCTCATTTTGGGCCCTTGCACCACATCCAGGTTGTGACCGGAAACTCTGATGATTCTGCCTCCACTGCAGGGCCAACGTGCATCACAACATGTCAAACTATTATTCAAATACAGATTACTGAGATTAATATGTTGGTGGTTCTGTCTTTAAAGAAGTCATTAAAAAAAACAAGAAACTACAAATTTGCTGATTTGAAGAGTTTGTTTTATACTAAATACGTACAGTGCCTTGCGAAAGTATTCGGCCCCCCTGAACTTTTCAACCTTTTGCCACATTTCAGGCTTCAAACATAAAGATATAAAATTTTTATTTTTTGTGAAGAATCAACAACAAGTGGGACACAATCGTGAAGTGGGATGAAATTTATTGGATGTGTCAAACTTTTTTAACAAATAAAAAACTGAAAAGTGGGGCGTGGAATATTATTGGGCCCCTTTACTTTCAGAGCAGCAAACTCACTCCAGAAGTTCAGTGAGGATCTATGAATGATCCAATGTTGTCCCAAATGACTGGTGATGATAAATAGAATCCACCTGTGTGTTATCAAGTCTCCATATAAGTGCACCTGCTCTGTGACAGTCTCAGGGTTCTGTTCAAAGCGCAGAGAGCATCATGAAGACCAAGGAACACACCAGGCAGGTCCGAGATACTGTTGTGGAGAAGTTTAAAGCTGGATTTGGATACAAAAAGATTTCCCAAGCTTTAAACATCCCAAGGAGCACTGTGCAAGCAATCATATTGAAATGGAAGGAGTATAAGACCACTGCAAATCTACTAAGACCCGGCCGTCCCTCTAAACTTTCATCTGGAACAAGGAGAAGACTGATCAGAGATGCAGCCAAGAGGCCCATGATCACTCTGGATGAACTGCAGAGATCTACAGCTGAGGTGGGAGAGTCTGTCCATAGGACAACAATCAGTCGTACACTGCACAAATCTGGCCTTTATGGAAGAGTGGCAAGAAGAAAGCCATTTCTCAAAGATATCCATAAAAAGTGTTGTTTAAAATTTGCCACAAGCACCTGGGAGACACCAAACATGTGGAAGAAGTTGCTCTGGTCACATAAAACCAAAATCGAACTGTTTGGCCACAATGCAAAACGATATGTTTGGCGTAAAAGCAACACAGCTAATCACCCTGAACACACCATCCCCACTGTCAAACATGGTGGTGGCAGCATCATGGTTTGGGCCTGCTTTAGTCAGCAGGGACAGGGAAGATGGTCAGAATTGATGGGAAGATGGATGGGGCCAAATACAGGACCGTTCTGGAAGAAAACCTGTTTGAGTCTGCAAGAGACCTGAGACTGGGACGGAGATTTATCTTCCAACAAGACAATGATCCAAAACACAAAGACAAATCTACAATGGAATGGTTCACAAATAAACGTATCCAGGTGTTGGAATGGCCAAGTCAAAGTCCAGACCTGAATCCAATCGAGAATCTGTGGAAAGAGCTGAAGACTGCTGTTCACAAACGCTCTCCATCCAACCTCACTGAGCTCGAGATGTTTTGTAAGAAAGAATGGGCAGAATTTCAGTGTCTCCATGTTCAAAACTGATAGAGACAAACCCCAAGAGACTTGCAGCTGGAACTGCAGCAAAAGGCGGCGCTACAAAGTATTAACGCAAGGGGGCCCAATAATGTTGCACGCCCCACTTTTCAGTTTTTTATTTGTTAAAAAAAGTTTGACACATCCAATAAATTTCATTCCACTTCACGATTGTGTCCCACTTGTTGTTGATTCTCCGCAAAAAATTTAAATTTTATATCTTTATGTTTGAAGCCTGAAATGTGGCAAAAGGTTGAAAAGTTCAAGGGGGCTGAATACTTTCGCAAGGCACTGTAAATAAATAACATTACTAATTTAATTTTTATGTAGATGAATGTTTTTGTTCAGTGCCCTGAGATGACTTCTGTTGTGACTCGGCGCTATTTAAATAAACTGAATTGAATATTACCATTAATAAAACCTAATAATGCTTTTATTGCATGGTCAGTCCATCAGAATGATTGCATTTACTGTTTGGTCAACTCTTATAAAAACTCTGCAAATGGCTTTAATATATATTTTTATATTTATGTTAGTAACTAGTTTTATTCTGGGGTCCACCTCCTCTCCGTCACTGCACCTGAAAAAGCTCCTGGATGGTGCAGCCTTCGTGATGTTGGGGTTCGGGGTGTAATGATACACCAATCCCTCCAGATGGCGCTCCGCTCCACCGAAGCGCACGGTGATATTGTGCGCCCCTGTCCTGTTGCTGCCTCTGGTCCCACATCTTATGTGATCCGCCAGGATTTTATGCCTGAACATAAAACGTTTATTTTTATTTTGCCACCAAGTCAAAAGCTGAAACTATTTGACAAAAAAAAATAATTACTGTAATAACCCTTTTGGGACACTTACACCATGCAAGGAACTCCTCCGATTAAGACGCTGACCTCTCTGGGGTGTCCCGTCTTCAGTCTCCGCCCTCTGATGGTGAGAGATGAGCCCCCCGCTTTGGGCCCCCTCTGAGGGAAGATGCTGCTGAGGACAGGATTCTGGCGACAAAAGCAGAACAAGAAGAAGAAATTTACAGCATGAGACGTAAAGACGCAGCGAACAAAGAAAAAAAAAAGATGTCAGATCAATAAGCCGATACTGAGAGTGTGATTTATTAGGAGATAAAACCAAACCACCAAGGCATTCTGGGAAACAGCTGAAGGTTGTTTCACAGCGACGTCCTGTAACAATTAATCTCCTTGTAACTCGGGACAATTAATTACGTCTGCTGGTATAAATAAAATTGTCAGACGAGTTGTTGCTCCACTGTCTTGCTGTGGTTCACTTACATTAAACCAAGTGACGCCTAATTAAAACGATCCACGGGGAGAGCTGCTGGTCCTTAATTGGACAGATTTCCTAAAAGCAGTTTTTTTTAATCTTTTTAACAAACGGAGGCATTTGTTGCGTTTGACTCGTCACAATTTAACCAAATTCTCTAAATGAAGCGTTTCAGTCGTGCTTTGTTCTAAACAACATCAAGGGACACCCCCTTGCTTTCAGGGAGACGCTGCTTTGTCTGATTCTGACTGCGCCCACGAGCAATTTCTCTGATCTTTGAGCTAAAGCTCAGGGGGAATCATGTAAAGATTGTAAATAACTGCTGCTTTTGAAGTGGGTATGGAAATGCTTTATTTTGAAACTACTGTGTAGTTTGAAAATGTTGCAGCAGGTTCTATAAATAACAGCATTAAAAGCATTTAAGTAGATTACAGTAGATTTAAAATCAAGATAGGTGATTAGAAAAATGTATTTTTACAGATCGATTAGTCGAGAGATCATTTCCGCTTTTAACCACCTAAGACCCGAACTCTTGCATATCTGGATGCCAGGTCCTAGGAGGTTAAGCAGGAGATCATGTATTTGTTTGTATCTGTGTGAGTTTGTTTTAACTGTTAGCAAAATATCTCATGAAGTAGATGATGAATTGTATTTAAACTCTAAAGGAAATAATCACCTAATGTACATTTTTTTAATTTAATTGAACCTTTATTTCTTCAGGTAGTCTCATTGAGTCACGAGGACTCCTTTTTAAGAGAGACCGGTTTGGGAGCAGTAGACCTGTCACGATAAACAATAAATCAATTAATCGCATGATAAATTAAAATTATCAACCTCATTTTTATTTATCGGCTTTATTGTTTCTTCGTGTCTCTCTCTACTGAAGACACTGGATGACAAAAGGCTCAACTCCGGTGCTCTTCACTGACCCCTCCCTTTCTCTTTAACATCTGCTTTAATCGTCCAAAATCATGTTTTTGGAACATTAAAAGCAGCTAAGCTGAGAAGCTAAGCTACGAGCTAAGCTAACAGGCCGACCTCGGAAAAAAACCTCCGTCTTGTCGAAGCGCCAAAATTCACGGTTGAAACCCGTGCCTTCATGTAAAAAGTTTTTTTTATGCAAAAAGAAGTTGAGAACTTGTTTACTGATTTTTTTATTAAAAGCTTTGTGTGAAAAATGCTACGCTAAAGAGCTCAAACCACACAGAGTGTCCGCCATTTTGAGAGCCGAAGAAAGACAGCCCATGTCACGTCAAGGGGCCTCCCTCCCATTTTTCTTAGAGACACGCTGCTCGCTCCCTCACTATCCATCCTTCAGTTCAAACAGTCTTATACTGCCATCTGGTGGTCGAAAAAAGGTACTGCAAACAAAACAGCTTAAACATTTCTTCTTAAATTCGACACTAATTACTAACTATTGTCAAATTTCAAATATTATCATTTATCGCAATAATTTCTGAGACAATTAATCGCCCAGCAAAATTTGTTATTGCGACAGGCCTAGTTAAGGGACTTGCTCAGGGGCCCAGAATGGTGCAAATGAGGGTGGAGGCAGGAGTTGGTGTTTCACCTATTCCACACACATTTTGACGTTGGTCTGGTGAGTCGAACTGGCGACTCTCCGATCACAGGCTCATCTTTAACCTCTGCGCCACCACTCCCCGTTTGGTAAAATTTTAGCTTTTAGCTACCGTGTTGCTGGTTTTACCTATTTACCGTACTTATGATTTAGCTAATTTTAGCATTTAACTACATGTTTGCTAATTATATGGTTTTGCTATGGTTTTGCTACAGGCTATTTATATTCTGGCTCTGATTTTAGCTAATTTTACCGTTTGATTACGGTTCTAGTTCTAGTCTTTGCTCTTAGCTACTAATTAGCTAATTTAACTTTTAGGTACTTTACTTTAAAGGAGTGTTGGCGCAGAGGTTAGAGAAGGTGGGCCAGTGATCGATAACCGGTTCAACTCTCAAGACCGACAACATCAAAATGTGGGTGGGAAAGATGAAACACCTACAGCTGCCTCCACTCTCATTTGCCCCACTGTGGGCCCTTGAGCAAGGCCCTTAACCCCCACCATCTGCTCCCCCGGGTGCCCTAGATGACGGCTCTCTGCTCCACACAAGAGGGCTGTGGTAGCTCGGTGGTCTGTGGTTGTGTCAAGAAGGGCATCCAGTGTAAAAATAACTGCCAAGTCTTTGTGCGACTTAGCTCACTGTGGTGACCCCTGAAGAAGGGAGAAGCCGAAAGAAGGAAAAACTTTTAAGTACATTTTTGCTAGTAGTAGTTTTTAGCTACTGTTTAGATAATTTTAGCATTTGGCCAAGATTTTGACAAATTTAGTTATTAGATTCAGTATTGCTGGTTTTAGCTACCACGTCTCTTGTTTTAGCTATGATTTAGGTTATATTAGAATTTATATACAGTTTTGGTAATTTTACCTTTGTGGTATGGTTTAGCTAGTTTTAGCTCTTGGGTACAGTTGTGCTAGTTTTAGATTTTGGCAAAAGTTTAACAAGTTTTATCTACAAGCAATAAACATTTGGAATCAACCCAATTCAAGATGACCAGTAGAACCTAGAAATCTTAGCAAGCACAAACAATTTCTATAAATCATCCAGTTTTACAAAAACAGCTAAAAGTGAGTGCGGCAGTGGCTGAGAGTCATTTCCAACACATACTCTGAGTGATAATCAGTCACGTCTGGTCAGTTTTCAAAACGTTGCTTGTGTTAGCAATTAGTGTTAACTAGTGAAATATTTTATTAAATGTCATGTGGACGACATACGGACATCCACAACCTTTTGTTTGAAGGTAATCCAAGTCAAGATGGCTGCCACAGGACTGGTTGCAACTCGGTCAGTTTTACAGATATTAGGCTAAAGCTTGGTGTGGTAGTAGCTGACCCTCATTCCTATAAGACACACTCAGAAGACTTCTACACATGATGCAATACTTTTTGTTTAAAATGTTTAAGAAAACGCAAAAACTGACCTGAAAGCTGAAAATCTGAGCTGAAAGCCCGAGTCCTCCACCTCTCACTTTGACAGAGACATGGCCGCTCGTCTCCTCTCCGCTGCTCGTCGTTACACACACTATCCTGCAAGAGCCCATCACACAGCTGCCTCCATTAGAAAAGAGTCGTAACGTGTGTGTTTGTGTTGATTGTGTGCGTTTGTGCTGGCTGCTTGCCTCGAGGACACTTCGTATCTGCTGTGGATGACGCTGCACGGCACTCCGGCGACTGTGACTGTGCCGGAGATGTCTTCGGCCCTTTGACCAAGGTTAGAGCCTGAAATAGTCACAACTGTCCCTCCCTCGACCGGACCGGATACCGGGTCCAACTAAAACACAAGAACACAACAAATCTGGCACATAAGTCAGATGGCAGCAGTGGGACATAAAAACGACAGCAAACCAGTTTTTTCTTTTGCTTCTCGTGTGTGATCGTTTAATGTGCTCCTGATTTAAAAAAAAACAACAAAACAAAACAACGTTTTGGGCTGTTTTAAAATAATTCTTTAGAAATCGGCTGCATTTTCTGCAAATTCTTGAACCTGATCGTGTCAGCTTAATGTGAACCGTGGGCTTCAAAAATTAGGAAACAGGACAAGAGCAGATGAAAGAAGAATCAATGAATAAAATTACCTGAAGCAGATGAAGAGCATGAAAAAAATAATCAGACACAAAACCTGAGAAAACTTTACTTGACCATCTGCTGTTTTTCATGTTTTTTTACTAATATCTCTTTGAAAATATCTAAAATTCTGTTTGATAAATTGTGCTGTCTTTGATTATTTTTATGGATGTAACTAAAAAAATCGTGAAAATGTGTGTCTTTGTGTAACAAAGATCCCACAGTCTGTTCGGTGTGAAGAAGAAGAAGAAGAAGAAGAAGAAGTCAGTTTCAGGTTATTTCAAAAAGAGCCACAAACAAACAATGAGCTCATCCACAGTTTCATCATGTCTCAACCTGACGGCTAATCTTGAGCAGCATCTAAATGTGGAAGAACAAACAGGTCTGATGTAGATTACAGAGGCTGTGATATGTGGGTGCTGCAGGTTAACCTCCTTTAAACTGTATTTTGCACATATTTGTGGACTAAAAGACTAAAAGCCTTTTTAAAGAATTTGCTGCGAAGGGCAAATCTTCAATGCTCTCCTTAAATCTAACTTCCACACATGTATTTGAAAGCATCACGTTAGGACTAAAATAATCTCGTGCTGCTCTTCCAGCAAAGATAAACTTGGCACTTGTCTGATTTTCCTAGCTCATAGTCCGGATAGAAGTTTTTTTTATGTTCGGAAGTAAAGATGTCAATAAAAAGGGTTCAAAACATGATAAAAAGTTCTTACAGCGTGAATGACGGGTGCAGGGCAGGTGTCTTTGATGTCACCAGCGCAGGAGTCTCGATACACACAGTGAGAGCCGGCAGCTCCACCACACCAAACACAGCCATACTTAGGGTTGGCAGTCTGACACCGGCTGCAGTCTGACCGACCCACTGAACAGTTGAACAGAGTCACTGAAACAGAAGAGCGCCAGTGAGAAAGCGCACGGTGATGCACTCATTTAATCACACGTTCAAACCTTCCTTTGAAAGTGTGACAATCGAATTACAGACAAAAACGAGCAGTTAAGCTTTGTGGACTCACACGCAGACCTACAGAAAGACTCGCAGCTACACGCTTTAAACGGCACTCACCATGCAGATCATCAGCGCTGTCGATGAGGAAGTTGTTTTGTCTCCTCACATTGATCGTAGCAGGGTATTCCTCCTTTGAGAGGGAATACACGTACTGCAACAACAGAAGGGGTTAGGAGTCAGACCAACAGTAGGGCGGTCATGGATACAGTCAATCCCATCCATCCCCAGTTTATCTGTTTATGTGCTCCTTGCATGATCCCCAACATTAACGCCTGACATATTTTTTATGTCACACTTTCAACACTCTCTATTGGTATGCTCCTATAGTTTCTAATTATTCTTTTTATAAATATTACTGCTTTGCAAACTATAACACAGGTTTATACAGCTATATTTAAATCAAAGACTGAGCACTCCTTGAAAGAATGTCCATCAAGGCCCAGTGGGTCATTTTGACCCAAGGACATAGGAGAGTCAACTGATGTTACTTTAAGCTGAGTCGTTTAGGTCAAACCTTGAGAATGACACTAAGCATGATTATGTGTGTTACTGTGACATCACGAGTTGCGTTAGCACTCTGACTATATCATGAGGACGACGAGGCAGCTACTACCACATCAACTTTAGCCCAGTAGCCGTTAAACTGGCTGAATTAGAGCAATTCTTTTGTTTTGAGATGTGCTTAGGCAGTGATGACTGAGAATTTCATTAAGATCTGTCTATTGATGAGATACTGAGATTGATGGGTTATCTGGACAGTGTTCACAGACTTACTTCCCCTCAAACTCACCACCTTCACTAGCCTCCTTCACTTCAGTAACCTAGGTACATGTGAAGGCGCCAGGGGCTGCGTCGCTCACTTGGGTGGCCTGTGCTGGGACCCCCACCCTCACCCACTCTACATGCATATGTCTTTATGTCACCAGTATGTTGCTTTTTCTTGAGCTGAGGTTTTTATGCAACCTCACACTGTGTCCAATCAAGGACACAATGTGAGATATGATTTTTTTTTTAACCTCCTCTTTCCTCACGTTTTCCCTTTTCCTTATCTAAACGAAAAGGGCAGCGCTTCCCATGAAGCTGCAGGCTCAGGCACCCCTGTCTACCCACGTTTGTTTTCTTTGGACGGCTGAACTGAAATGTAATCTCGTTGTGCTTCTGTGCAATGACAATAAAAGTGGATTCTGATGAGATTCAATGCCATTATTTTAAAGCAACAATACTATGGTTTATAATTTCTTATCTGGCAACCTGACTGACATGGAAACTACAGCGTTTTTGTGTAAACCCGCCCATTTTTTGTTTATTACCCTGAATAAACATTGAAAAAACACACTAACGTTTCCAGAGGTTGTTCTCGTGTAAACGGGGCCTTAAAGTAGATCACTTTCACTTGGTCATTTTAAAAGGAGCTCGCATGCTGAAAAGTTGTGGACACCCCTGTCATAGCACATCTGCCCTTGACAGATGTGTAATAAAAACTTCTTCTGACATGTGAGATGCTGTGTTCAGGCTTCATCTTGTCATTGTTGACCAAGCTTTTCTATAATTATTTTACATACACTCTGACATGTGATGTGCAGAGAGACATGAGAATACATTATTATCTGCTTATCATTATTTCAAGATATAAAGGGGGATTTATTCTGACCTGGTGTGGTTGACAGGTGATGAAGTAGACTGACGGCCAAGTAGCATGTGGCTCCACAGAGGCCTCCACCACCACTGACTGATTCTCGATGTCCAGCACGCAGTCATAGTCCAAAGTCTCGTCCTGAATGTGCACACAGCACGTTTAAAGACCCAGACTAAATCTGCAAATATTAACTTTATGACGGTGTCAAAACAAGTACAAAATCAACAGCATGAAGTAAAATCTTTTTACGAAGTTTATGTCATCAAGTATTTCCATAGACTATATTAAATGTGCTGCAGTAACATGAATCATCAGCTGACATTACCTGAAACAGGTTCAGGTGTTGGCCCACAAGGGTGATTTTCCTCTCCACGTTGACAGGGAGGAGAGAGGAATCTTGAACTCTTTCCACACATGGACATTCCTGATGACATGAGTGAAAACATGGAGAATATCTATATTGAAGCTACATCTGAATGTGGCTCATAGAGTGAATCATTTAACAACGCAGACAGTCAGAAAGGTTTTTAATTGCTTTTAAGATGAGCCTTTCTTGCAGGTTTAGTTTTTTTTTCTTGAATTTCAGAGATGGTCCTGGTTATTTATTATTAATTTAGACAAATGTTTTATTATTGTGTGATTATTCCGACTTCTATCCATATTTCGTACATTTTTTGGCACAATTCTCGTGCCGCGATTTTCAAGCAACGAATCATAAATCAAAACGTTCAGCTCTTTCAGGACAATCCTGCTGTGACTTTTGGAATTGATGCAACTTTAGCTTTTTTAAATATTTAGACTTTTCTTCCACTTTTTCCTCATAGAAATGAGTTGAGCTCATTTTACGTCCTTCAAATCTTAAGATCTGTTTACAATCTTTTACTGCTCCTTTCACATTTTGTTCTGGTTCAGCTTTCTTGCGCAAATTTAAACTTTTTTCAACTAATTCGGCTGTTTGCTCAGCTGTTTTGTGCTCCTTTCATATTATTTCTACTAACTAAAACATTTTTTGTGAATTTTCTAACTTTTTTCAGCTAATTTCAGCTTGTTCCGTTTCTTTCAGTTTATTTCAGCAAGTTTTAGCTTTTTCTACTATTTCAGCTACTATATAGCTGTTTTCATGCTAATTTAAGCTTTTTCAGCTAATTCCACATTTTTAGCTAATTTCCGCTCTCTTTCCACTTCCTTATAGCAGTTTGTTTCTTTCTGCATTTTCAGCTACTTTTCAGCAATTTTTTTTGTTAATTTCAGCTTTTTTTAGCTAGTTTCCTAAATTTTTTGCTCATTTCTGCTTATTTAAACCAAATTCAGCAAACATGTGTTCTTTCTGCTTTCTTCTGCTAATTTAGGCTTGTTCTTGTATTTTAGCTACATTTCAGCATGCTTTTTTAGTTAATTTCAGTTGTTTTTCAGCAAGTTCTTCTGCTATAAACATACACACTGCATTTTCCCAGGAAATGCGATTTATTTAGTTGTTCATAGGGGCGCTGCCATTAGATCTACTGAACTGCTACCATTTCATCTAACTGGAAGATCAGTGTGAAGTTAATCATTCTTATTTATCTTCCAAAAAGAAAACTCTACACTTGAAGCCATGAACAGAGCAAACAACACTTGCTTTCCATTCAGCAAACCCACTTTTGCTTGTTAGGCAGTCTCCACTAAAAATGAAATGATCTACCGTACATGTTACTGCAACATAAGGTAACGTATTTTGCTAATTGTAAGCCAAAATATCCATTATTCTTCCATAAATATAAACAAATGTGCATAAGAGATGAAAAAAGTAAAGAGCACACATTCCAGCAATGACATGTACAAGTAAAACATTAAGATTATAGATGGAATGTAGCTATCCCGTTTCTCATAGAAGGAAGTGCTGAGTTAGCTTAACAGTATTACTTGCCAGCAGCACTAAATGAGGTGACCAGAAATAATATGGAGAGAGTAGAAGAGTCAATAAAACCTGTTGGGTTAATGCCTTAAATTACTCGGCTGCATCTTCACGTTTGAGATTACATTGATTTTGTGTCAGTCATGGTTGGATTTGTGGAGGGGAGAACCTTTAAAGCTAACTGCAACAGAAGCTCAGTATGCTACACCTCAGTGTCTTACAGAGTACATTACAGCTCCTGTCTTCCAGGTTAGTTAAACAGTGCTTCACTGTAGTTCTTCACTTATTCCAGTCAGGTGCTTGAACCGATGGCAGCTGGACTTTGTTTCTTAAAAATGTTTCGTCTGTTTTCTGAGTGGAACAAAAGTGGCATTACAGATTAAACAGTGAAACAAAAAAAATTAAGTCCAGTTGTTTTCTATTCAAGCTTTACTAAACCATATTCTTCAAATGAAATTTTTTTATTTATTTTTTTGACTTAAACGAGGAAACTGGCATCTTTTCCATCTGCCTTTTGAATATTAAGGAGCCGTCTTAAACTGACTCCAGTTTTAAATATATCACAGCAGTTCATGCAAACCCTTTTTATAAACCTTTATACTGCCATCAATGTTGCATTAACCAAAAACTTGATGTCTCTTGTCGGGACATGGATTACCAGAGCCACACCCTGGAGCCAGGTCTGGGGGAGGGGCTCGTCAGCGAGTGCCTGGTGACTGGTAGAGCAACATGGGTTTGCCTTCCTGTGAGCCCATCACCTGCAGGAGGGGCCATACGAGTAAGGTGCTTGACTCCATGGGCAGTGGCTGAAGGCGAGGGCCTTGGCACTCTGACCCTGGTTTATCAAAGCTGGCTCATTCTCCTTAGCCCCCCTGGTAAGGTCTATTCATGCTACTGACTGTTCGATTCCTATACAAGTGGTGTGAGAGTTTGGCTTGCAGTAAGACCAACCCCTTCATGAGGGAGTTAGACTCCACCAGAGCTGCCCATTGTCACCAGTTCTGTTCATAACTTTCATGGACAGGATTTCTCGAAGATTCCATCTCTGCTCTTTGCAGATGATGTGGTCCTGTTGGCGTCATCGTGCTGTGATCTCCAGCTCTCACTGGAGCAGTTTGCAACTGAGTGTGAAGAGACTGGGATGAGGACCAGCACCAGCAAATCTGAGGCCATGGTCCTCAGTTGGAAAAAGGTGGATTGCTCTCTTCGGGTCGAGGGTGAGGTTCTGCCTCAAGTGGAGGAGTTCAAGTGTCTTGGGGATTCGTTCACGAGTGAGGGAAGAATGGAACGTGGGATTGACGGACAGATTGGTGCAGTGTCTGCAGTATTGCAGACTCTGTGCCGGTCCATTGTGGTGAAGAAGGAGCTGAGCTGTAAGGCAAAGCTCTCTCTTTACTGGTCGGTCTACGTTCCTAGCCTCACCTATGGTCATAAACTCTGGGTAGTGACCAAAAGAATGAGACTGGGGATACAGGAGTTCTGAATGAGTTTCCTCTGCAGGGTCACTGGACTCTCCCTTAGAGATAGGGTGAGAAGTTCTGTTATCAGAGAGAGTCTTAGAGTTAAACGAATGCTCCTCCACATTGAGAGGAGCCAGCTGAGGTGGTTCGGGCATCTGGTACGGATGCTTCCTAAGTGCCTCCCTAGGGAGGTGCTTTGAGCATGTCCGACTGGGAGGAGATCCTGGAGAAGACTCAGGACACACTGGAGAGACTATGTCTCTCGGTTGGTCTGGGAACGCCTTAGAGTCCTCCCACAAGAGCTGGAAAAGATGGCTGTGGAAAAAGAAGTCTGGGCCTCCCTGCTCAAGCTGCTGCCCCTGAGACCCGACTTCAGAACAAGCAGAAAATGATGGATGGATTGATGGATGGACGATTCTTCCAGCAGAAATATTGATATTCCCGCAAGAAGTGTATCAGATTACCAGTACATCAGAGGTTCTAGAGCTAACTGCTGATGCTCCTTTTTTTTCTTAAATGAAATAGCTGTGCTTTGAAAATGTAACGTTGAAGTAAAAAGTTTATAAAACAGACTGCATGAAATGCTACATGCTTCTAGATGGAAAAAATCCTCTTCAGCTTTTATTTGGTCTTTTGCTACTGCTGTTTCAGCTCACTTTTTGCTACTTTTAGCTTTAAGCCCTTTGACACCTAGCTTTGAGCTACCTTTTGCTACTAGCAAATACTTTTACCCCGTCTTTTTTTACTTTTGGTTTTTAGATAGCATTGTGTTTTTGTAGATTTTAGTTTTTTGACGACTTTTACCTAAATCATTCAGCAATTTCTCTTAATATTGTTTAAAGCATTTTCACAGAACCCCACTTAAAAAGACTTGAAATATCACTTTAAGGTACAGCTAATCTGCAGTTAGATCAGCACAAAGACTAAAGTGAAGGCAAACAATCAGCACGACTCTCTTGGCCAAATGGATTTAACGAGATAAAACCTGCGAAATGAAAGCTTGTCTGAAGTGTTAGCATTTAGATTTTAACTTTTAACAACTGCCATTCAAGCACACTCTACATTTCCAATATTTTCTGCCACGATAAACGAACCATTTAGTAAAACAAGTTAAGTTTTTTTCAGTTTCAACAAACAAATATGAATGTTTTGTTTATTTTTCTCATTCTGGGCTAGAAAGAATGCTTCTTGTGGTGAACATTTCTGTGTCAGCTCCAAACGTGTCCTCTGCACTCACCAGAAGATAAGACTCAGAAGAGGAATCAGACTGTGGGTTTGTTGGAGAGTCAGAGTTGATGTCAGCCATTGTTTCAGGTGATTGTGTAAAGACGGGGGAATGAGCGACAAATGGGACTGTTTCAGAATCTGTTTCTTCGTCAGGCCTCCCCCACCCATGCAGCCTCGGAGGTGGGACATTCTCCTCAGAAGTGGCCGGAGGATTGGCCTCCTCGTTGGCACTGATGGAGAGGTCTATAAACGGAGCCACTTCACTGGAAGTAGTTGGGTTTATCTCAGAAGAGGAGCCCGTTGCTTCACTGGATGGCTTTGAAACTTTCAGCTGAGAGTCTACATGATCACTAGTGGTGTTGAGCAATGCATTGTGGGTAATTTCTACAGTGATATTGAAGTTGTTGGAATCTTCATCCTCTGAAGAGCCACTTACAGATATGTTTGTTGTTCTCTCTACATCTGTGGTGTTGGTATCAGTGTGAGCGGTGCTGGCCGGGGTGGAGGTCCTGACCAAAGGGGAATTTGTGGAGAGGGTAGCTGGTGTGGTAGATTCAACATTAGGGTTGGTGGGGGTTGTCACTGCTGTTGGAGTTGAGGGAACAGCTGTTGTAGTGGGGGCAGATGTCTCTGTGGGTGGTGGTTGTGTTGTTGTAGTGGCTGCTGTTGTTGTTGGAGCGGTCAGAACAGGAGGAGATGATGGTGTAGGTTTTCTGGTGGGTGGTGGGATGGTGGGTGTTGATGGTTTGAACTTGACGATGGAGAAGCAAAAGCAAAACAAACGAACAAGGAAATGACAGGACGAGGAAAATGAAAAGTGGTGGGAAGACAAAATTAGAATAAAACTGTTAATAAATAAAAATAAATAAATACAAATATAAATATTATATACAGTAGTCCCTCGTTTATAGCTGGGGATCCGTACCTTGAAGCCCCGTGATACGTGAAAAACCGCAAAGCAGGAATAGGAGTAAGTATTTACTTATTTTACTATATATATATATATATATATATATATATATATATATATATATATATATATATATATATAATAAACAATGTTTCTAAACTCTAAACGCTCCAAAAGAGCACAGAATGTCATGACTTCAGCACTCTGCCTCTGGCTGCACTCTCGGCCACGCCCACTTCTTCGTTCTGCACGGAGATCAGCTGATCAGCTGCAGGAGGAAGCTTCTCCACAGCTGTGGGCTGCACACAGGTGTAACAGGTGCTAAATAATTTTAAGTAATTTACTTTTTATAGAAATTCCATGCCGATCGTGCGGCTCATCTATCAATCAGCCAATTGTGTGGCATGTCCAATCTTTGGAAAACCGCGATAGAGCGGGTCTGCGAAAAACGAACTGCGAAGTAGCGAGGGACTACTGTAGATAAATAAAGGCTGAATGAACTGAATGAATGAATAAAGCAAAAATGATATGTAAAAACAGTAAGAAATAACTCATGAATGATATGGCTTGAGTAAATCAAACAGAAAAGGCAAATAAATTTTAAAAAGACAGCACATGCACAAACCTATGCACATGATGCTCAAATCAGTCTTTTTGAAAGATAAACCACACATTTGAAAATTTGCTGTGATAAAATGAAATCCCTGAAATATCAAGTCAATTGTCTCCAAAATCAGTTTTACAAAGTTTCACACTTATTGATGACTCACATGTTGGTTGTAGATGGTGACTCCATGGCTGCAGGTGTGTTTATGTGTGCAGACATGTTCATGAATACACCAATTACACCCCCAGCGACTGCTAACACACCCTTGGCATCTGGCAGAACACGCAACAAAAGAGCAGACAAAACAGCAAGATCAGGAGATAACTCTGTAACGGTCTAAATGTTGGAAAAATCAACAAGAATCAAAAAAATACAAATCATCAAAAATAGTGTAGTATCTAGTTAATATTTTGTATACTTTCTCATCAATTACATGTAATGTGTTGTTTTCTAATGAGTTGAACAGCAGGTGTGATGTCGCAGGTGTGTACTCACTGTCTGCGCCCAGAAAGCTCCTGGACCAAAGTGCAGTTGTAGAAGGTGAATTCTGTTTCCGTTACCGTCACGTTAATGAAACGCAGCGACAACGTCACCGTCACAAACTCTGTGTGAGAGCAAAACCTGCTGTCAGATGTTAATAATGATCACATGAATAACATCTAACCGGGAGACCCAGTTCACGTGTGCCGCAGTATGGCAGCCATGACAGGAGCTCCGCTTCCTCTCGCTCTTTTGTTCCTGTTGTTTTTGTTTTAACTTTATTTTGCGCTTGCACTGTACACCCATACTAGGGGTATGATCGTAACGCACTGTTGGGAGTTTTCAGTGCTGCTGCCTTGCCATCGTGCCATCATGGTTCAGTTCCCGGCCCCCTTCCTGCCTTGAGGTCAGGCTCCGGTCTGTCATGGCAGCCGTCTCCATGATCCCCCATCTGCCTTCATGGACTGAACACTACGGAATCATTTGGTTCAGCAGGGAGACTTTGGATGTTCTGTGTCTGCCAGACCCAGTTCTGGAGGACAGTCATCGTCGGTTGTTATTATCATCATGCTGCTAACAAGACTATACTGCTAACAGAACCACACTGCTAACAGAACCACACTGCTAACAGAACCACACTGCTAACAAGACTATACTGCTAACAGAACCACACTGCTAAAAGAACCACACTGCTAACAGAACCACACTGCTAAAAGAACCACACTGCTAACAGAACCACACTGCTAAAAGAACCACACTGCTAACAGAACAACACTGCTAACAGAACCACACTGCTAA